GAAAAAATTTGAAAGAAATTCAGGGAAAGTGCTGATTTTCAAAACTGTTTGGTTCTCCATTACTCAAAGTTGTTTCTGTTCATTCTTCTAGAAAATTATGTTCATTACATGATCAGAAATACTTTAACATTTTCTAGCTATATGAATTCTCATCGTGTTACAAAGGCCAACCACTCCAAATTTACATAGCAGCAATACAACAAAGTGCTTGTAAAAACAGCTCTCAACGGTAGCTATTTCAGCCTTTCAAAATTTAAAAGCATCTGTAGTTTCTGCAAGTTGTTGAACTGCTTATACACAACAATCCTGTCCTCCTCCCTGAGCAAATTGGCACCTCAAAAATAGAGATGGAGCGTATGAAAAATTATTGTCACCACACAATACTAGAAGACAAAAAAACCCCCCAGAGCATCCTCCCCCCCAAACCCCAAAATAAAACCCAAGAAACAGAAAATTCAGCAATGCTGAAGTCCAAACTTCCGACTGAGCAATGCTAGTTTAAAAAAATGCGGGTGCCTTTGGCGTTCCCCCCCACCACACTGATGCCAGGTCAAAGATGATTCCTGCATTACCAGGAGTGGTTCTGTGGTGTCCTGTCCCCAAGAGCGATGCAGGGACAGAAGTACAGGGCAGCTCTCCGTGCCTTCCAGATGCGACATTCAGAACTGTAAGCATCACCCTCCTGCCTCTGAAAAAACTCGCTGCGGTGGGTCATTAAGAGAACACGCTCCGATACAGGCAGATTAAATCCCTGCACTCTGTGGGAACAGACCTTGATGGCTGTTTACTTGCCCCATCTCATAAAAGGGCTTCAATAAAAGCCTAGAAAAGCCAACCCTAGACACCTGCCAACGCTATATACATCTCCTTCCAAGCCATCACACGTCCCTTGCTCCCCGTAACAAAGCCAACCGATTGGGACACAACCCAGGAATCAGCCTAAGTGCTTGGCAGACACCGGGCCATGGGACACACCTTCAAACGCTGTCTGAAGGCCACTTAAAGCTAGGTGTGTTCTTCTTTTGTATCACTTTGGGATACTTCTTAAACACATCTTTCCTTACCAACAAGGCTCTTGCAAATGACCTGGGCGTTTGACCCCATTCCTGAAAAACATGACCGGAATAAATGCCATTGATAACTACTAGTGAAGAAGTAACTGTGAAACATCAGCAGCAAGACACTTCAAACATTCAAACCCACCACATGTTGGAACACGAGAGTGAGACAGGGGAGAGAGAGAGAGACTTAAACAATCCATCAATGTTGCTTTATTAAAATCTTTATTCACACAATGTTGCTTTATGCGGAATCTGACCCCGGGGGATACAAGTAGAAAGTCATGATTGCATTCTGTTTTCTTATTAGCAATCTCCGTTTGTGCAGCTGCTCCCAGGGGCAATCCTCTGACAGCTCCAAGAGGGGTGTCTGGTTCAAGCATCTTGCTCCAGCTGCCACAACAAATAAATTACCTTCTTAATAAATTAGTATTTTTCAGTTGAAGTTTGTTTGGCAAGACACACTCCAGTTCATTAGCTGCTGGAAGAGGAGCCGACTTCAGTGTCTCCTCCGGCCCGACTGCTGACTTCGGAAGGAGGAGATAAATAGCAGATGGCTGATGATGCTCTCGTTTTAATTAGTTCTTGATTTCTGTGCTTCAAGCGCTCTGATATTACTAATATCCGCAACACAACCATTTTGTAACATCTGGAGCCAGCGAATTACAGCGTGCACAGTGAACAAGAATCAGAAGGTGTCATGAAAACCTCATCGACAGCGCATAGCACCTGCCTCACAAACGACGTTATTTTTCAGAGATTCAAGCAGACCCTGTTTGCATGGGGGTGCTGCTTCTGATTTCCTTTGCAATGGTTACAATTTAGATTTTCTCAGGGTTCTGTATTCAAGCAAAACAACAATCACTGCCAAAATGCCAGAGATTATCACAAGGCCAAAATCAGATCGTCCTGATTTTGGGTAAGAGAGGAATTTCTTCTTCTTCCCTGCTGCAGAACACCAAGCTCCAGTGGTGTTTACAGTGACCAGAAGCATCAACATGACAAAAAAAAAAAAAAGGAAAAAAAAAGTAATCATTTCTTGCTTCCTCCTACTGATGATGCCACACTTCATGCCCTTTGTTTACAATTAAACCAATACAATGCTTTAAATCTTTGACATTCATACCGGGGGGGGAAAACATCCCCAGAGTCCATCTGACAGCAAAAGCTTCAGCTTAGAGCCCCGTGAACAGGCAATACATAAGCCCTGAACACTAGTTTAATTTCATAAAGACAGAATGACTTTTTTTTTACTCTGTTATTAAATCAAATTTAAATGATCCAAAGTGATCAAATATAAATCAAAAATTCAAATTTTGGTAGATCCTTCCCAAAATATTAAGTGCTCATGATTAAGCTCAAAGAGAACATGTTTTTCTACCACTACCACATGCTTCACCATCTCCCCTTTGTGTAAATCATCTTCAATTTCCTGGGAAACAGTTTATGCCAAAATGCCTCAGCATGAATCTGTTCTGCTTTAGAAGAAAAGCATTCCCTAACCACCTCGCTGTTGCCCACAGTACTTCCCGATGCTGTCTCGCTCAAGCGCCGAGGTCTGCCTGCCAGCCAAGCCGGGCAGCAATCCCTGCGTGGCTCCTGCCCACGCTCACCGTCAGCGGAGCACACAAGGGAACAATCCACGCTGGTGGGTTACGCTCCCCAAAGGACCACGGCTTCTAAAGCATGTGTTAGATTATCAAGTACAGCAATAAACAGGCACTAGCTTAACACCAGTGTCCTAAAAGCTGGCTGTGCGTTACAGTCCTGACTAGTAACACCAATAAATAACTCTGCGTCCCATCCCAACTGTGGGGTGGGTCTGTGATGTGGCCAAGTCCAGAAGAGATCTAGAACATAAAATTCAATTTCAGGTAAACAGTTGCATTCTATTTTCAAGATACTCTGCTCAGGCAATGATAAAAAAAACTTCAACAAAATAAAACTGCATTTTAAAAATAAACTCTCTCACTAACACCTCTTTGATCGGGTATGGCTTCAGGTGCAAGAACAGGAAACAGCTCTTTATCTGCCTGCCACACTACCGCAGAGCTAGAAAGATTTTGACAGCAAATCAAGGAAAAGGTCTTAAACTGACATTTTGCTGCTCTTGCTCACAAGTTCAATAATATATGTTCACTTTGGGAAGTGAGCTCTTTCCTTACTTCTGAGGACCATACTGTCTGAACTGAAAATCGAAGCAAACCTGTTAAATTTGGAAATGCAATGACGAAGCTGCTTCCCTTCTAGAGACAGAGATTCAGACCTACCGCAAGGGCGACAAGTTTTACAGCCACAAGCTCATAAGCAACGCAAGCTGACACAGTGCTGAAGGATGACAGGACTAGGACAAGTGCTGCAAGTCTGCCCTGAAAAGCCAACTTACACCAGCTGTCCCCTATCTATGGCGAAACCATGAGGAGTGAGCACTCCAGGATGATTGCTCCACTCACAACATCAGAGTGGGAGTTGCAGGAAGCAGGTGGGGAAGGCAGAAAACTTACTGGAAATGCTCACAGCTTCAGAGCTCACCCACAAGCCAGGCCGGGCAGACAGCGGGACTGAAAAAGCTGTGGTTACAACCTCGAGCAGCAGGAACCTCTCTCCGCATGTCATGAGGAAGAAAGAGCACAACTCAGGGTTCTCTCCACTCTTCGGGGCCTTGCCATGGCTGTTGGCTGCTGCGGAAGTCCAGCAGTACACCTCTCTTTCGCCAGTGCAACATGCCCAGATTCCCCAAATTAAACAGGGCATACAGTAAGCAGCATGACCTCGCTAAACAGAACCTGCTTCCAAGGACAGATGCTGTCCTCCTCCTCGGCTACAATACAATGAAAATGTGGTTAGTATGGACACAGAACTGCAATGCTATTTCCTCTACTCAGACCTTGCCAGGTTCCTTATAAATGGAAAACAGTGACAGGACACGTGGAAACTTACTTTAACCCCTTAATTACCAAGTGCTCTATAACCACCCTGTCCTCCCCTAAATCTCCATCCCTGTGGATAATTCTTGGATAGGACTTCAGCAAAAACACTGAAGCATTATCACATATGAGGCAAACCCCATTCCCAGCCTTTTATCGAGGAAAAGACAAGTGAGCAGCAGAGGTCTCCTCTCCCACCCCTAATGGCATTCAGAAGAACATCCCACCCCCGGGGGGGTGGCACAACTCTTCAGTCTAATAATTATTTTATTCACCACTTCCTCTTTCTCTAAAGAAGCAGTAAAATGCCTAACCAGCTCACAGCTGATTATGTACAACCCTGAATCAGACAAAAAACTCTCAAGAGTATACGTGGGGAAGAGAAGGGGAGAGGACCGTATCGTTCATCTCCATTTGTCCCCTCTAGATTCAGTCCACAAATTAGTGTCTGTATTCCACACGCTTCCACCAACACCAAGAGCCATTTTTATCCAGTGCAATGTCCACTGCCGGCAATGGACACACCACAACGGCCAAGCTGCCATTACGGGTACTGAGCCATCCGAAGCTCTGACTTCCCACCTCACTGCTGTCAGCCCAAGGTAAAAGCCAGCGTCACCTCTGTTTCTCCGGCTCGGAAGCTTTCCTGTTCATTTCAGTCCATCTTGGCCACAGCCTTTCCGAACTGATTGTGCTGTTTTTCTATCGCTTTTTTTGTTTGTTTTTAAAAAAAGGAGTTTCCTCTGTGTTCCACTACAATTACAAATGAGACAGTGTCATCCTGTCTTCCACCAGCACAACATCTGGCCCAAACTGGTCTGTGCACTGCTTCACTGTAGCCAGAATGCTGAGAAGCCGCTGGTCTAGGGCATCCAGATGAGGGTCAGAAAGCACTGGTGAGATGGGGTCATGCGACATAGCAGTTTTTAAGGCAGACTTCAGTACTCCATTCTTCAGATAATTGAGTCTGTTCCAGGTAGAAACCCGAATGCTGTAAAAGAAACAAACAGTCATCGTACCACTGTCCTGCCGAAGTTCCATCAGCAATACCAAAGCCAACCTCTTGAGGGAGCCTGTTACATCATGATCTTATCTAAATAGAACGGAGTCTTACTACAAAAAAGGCTTTGGGATGGGAAGGTCCAGGTATAACTGCATTAATGCAATATCTAAGTAAAACTTGAAGACTGAAGGTGAAGAAGAAAGAATCTAATGCGATGTAATTCTTATGTTATACAGGAACGTGTTCAAGTGCTAGCAAGGAAGTTCTTCAGTCCGGAGGCCTCCCAGACGCAGTTTGGAATGGAAAGGAAATTAACAGTCTGGCTGTTAATTCAAAACCAAAACTCATGTTACCTCAGGAAGAGCATCACTGACTAACAATTAATGACAAAGGACACAACTCAGTCAACTGAACTTCCACAGAAAGTGAACGCAGCAGGGATCTTTCTGCTTCACTAGCCATTAAACTTGTTCATGTCAGCCCATCTAAACTGTCTTGTTCTGAGAAGTCTCTTGGGATTCTTCCCCAAATTTTTCTGTTTCAGCACCACTGGTCTAAACTATCCGCTTTTGATGGTCTCTAAAGAAACCAGCAATACAAGCAAGTGTCGTAACAAATCTACGGTTAAAACAATTATGCATATGAATTCTTACATGGCATTTGCCTGGTATCAGAAAGAAAGGATATCTGAAAAGCAGGAAACTGCAAAGTCTCTTACATAGATAAACGTCTGTTCTGGTTGTATGTGGGGGAAGCTAAATGAGAAAGACTTCAAAGGATGCTCATAAAACAGGAAATCAAAAATGCATTTAAAATTAAGGTAGGAAAACTGAAGAATTTGAAAATAATTCACTTATAATTGTTCTCCATATGGATTCTGCAAGATTCTTGCAGAACGTAGGCCAGGTGTACTGTAGCACGCACAGAGCCCGGTTTAGTGCAAGCAGGGGGTGAGAGCTCAGGCTTTCTGCAAAGTACCCAGGTTTCACAGGCCCCAAGGAACTCAGGAGACAGAACCCTCCAAGGACAGGCTCAAGGAACTCTCAGCTAAATGCTTAATTTGGAAGACTTAAAGGAGTTAATGTTATCTTGAAGTACCAGAGGGAGGAAATGGATGTATCAGTATTTTTCTTCCTGGTACTTTTATCTATTTGTTAATGAGAAGTAGCAATGGCCTGGTGAGAGAGCAGCCACAAAAACCAGAAATCAACAAGTCACAAGCCTCTAAAAAGAACCCAAACACAGCTCACAAGGCCAAAGTCAAAACAAAATCCTGCAAAAAGCCTACAAAGTCCACTTTGAAAGGAGTACCCTGAGCAGTGCTGCAGTCTTGTTTAGCAAGAACATTTGGAAATGAAGGTAGTTAGTTAACAGACACGTTGAGTCCTTAGCTTGTGTCAGGGAGAACTCAAACTGTGACGTTCACGTCACGCTCC